TGTTTATAAAGTCCCGGACCCATTTTGATGTTTAATAACTCATAAAATAATGAAGATAGATTAAAATTAATAACATCAATGGTTAGATAGACTCAAAAAGTTTCATGACCCTTGTCAATGAACTTCCACGTGTGCCCCCTTCGTCGCACGGAGAATATCAAGTCGATAACTTGTCGGCATCCACAGAGGCTATTGCGGTTGTAATTCTGTAATTCTTAATATCCGCTCGAATAAAACATCACATAGAAAAGTACTGCATAGAACAAACACATCAAAAGTAAACATAACATTGCAATAGTTGCCAAAAACAAAAGAGAGAAAAATGAAATTAATAAGCAGACGATATTTAGACTGGAAAATGAAATCATCTGAAATTAACCACACGCGCAGACGATATTTACAAAAGTAAAGATATTCAAACCTGAAAAGGAAAAAATATATGAGTTATTCCATCAATAAATGCCATAAGTTTGCTTATATCTTCATTATTTTATGAGTTATTAAACATCAAAATGGGTCCGGGAATTTATAAAAATTATTAGCATAGAAATTTTATTTTTTATTTTTCATGAAATTATTACGAAATTGAAGAGCTCAGGTACAAAAAGCAGCTAAATGGCATTTTTAGAAAAATTAAGATTTCTCAGTGAAAGTTCTTATTTTAGTCTCATTCAATGCCTACTATTAGTTCCCTATATCTTGTTCGAATTTTCAATTGTTCATTAAATAGTTTTCATATATCCACTCAAGTTCAAATATATTTTTTTGAACTTGTAGTTTATGACACTTGATGTTAATGCAGTTTTTTTCAAATATTAATTCATTCATTAAATTTATTTAATTAATTTTAGTTTCACAAGAGAGAAAAAATTGTAATTATTCAATAAAAAGTAACTAAAATAAAAATGTTCTTTGTTGACATAAGTAAAAATTGGGTTCAAATTTTTTTTAATTTTTATATTATTTGATTAAATCTATAACATTCATTTATATCTCTAAATCTATTAATTCAGACAAAGCTATTTTTTAGATGGAAGTGACTTGACCGCAAATAAACGACACCAGAAAATCATTTGAGAACGCGCGGGAAAAAAAATGAAAAATTTCAAACAGTAACTTGCATACATTAAAGAGAAATGTATACTTTTTTACGAATCATCAATTAAAAAAGAAAATTCTTAAATAGCTTCAACATAGAATTTTTTTTCTTTGTTTCTGGTATGCATTAATGTGGTATGCATCTGGTATGCATTAATAATACAAGTAATAAATTTCGATACATTTTTTTCTCAAAGCAAAGTCTTGTTGAAATTAAATATTATTTGGTGCTCTTATGACTTTTTCAAAATATTTTTATTGTTACTAGCTGAATACTTCTCTTTTTTTGGTTGTTGTAATAAAACGAAATAATCAATAAATCGATAGTGATCAACATTACGAAATCATACACAAAATAGGAATATATACGCGGTCACAACTAACTTAATATCAGTGTTTTATTTATTGTTATTTGTTGCTTTTTTTGATGATTTTTAGTTATTAGATTAAGCAAAACCTGCTTTTTGAAGTACTTCCTATCAGAATGAAGTTTAATAATGTTTAGTACCATTTGGTATAATTCGAATGGAGATCAACACTGACTAAAATCAACAATTATCTCCAGTACACATCCCATTATGAACTCTGTAAAAAACCTATTATCCTAGTACTTACAGTAGGTATCGAATGTTCAACTCCGTAGCCTTGTCATTTTGAACCCAATCCAGAAGACAAGGGAACTCTTGGATCAAGTATTGGGAGAAATTTGACTTCGTGGAGGACTTTTTGATGGAACTAACCCGCATTTGCCCTACATGGAGAGGAACACCACGAGAACCTCTCACGGTTAGCCCGACTGCAAGGGGACTCCAGCCCATGATCCGTCTACCACTGAGGATAACTTACGTCAGCACTGTGTTCGGTGCAAGCCAGATGCGGAATTCGTATCGACTGGGATGCGAACCCGGTTCGCCTCACTGGAAGGCGAGCACTCTATCCCCTGAGCCATCACTGCTCAATAGTACCTAATAACATAATATCAGTAATACATATTACAGAAATTTTTTTCTTCCTATTTTTCGAATTATTATTTTTAAATTGAAAATGAGAAGGGGGGCTCGCCAATAGTCTTCAAGATGTATGAGCACACTTAAAAGCTTAAGTGTTAAATCCGAAATGGTAAACGTACTTATATAGTTGGCAAAACTAATAACAGAGCCGAGGTGGCTCCGGCGATAGAGCTTGCCAGTGAGGCGAACCGGTTCGAACCCCAGCTATGTCTGGTAGATATGAATTCCGCATTCAGCTTGCACCAACCACAGTGCTGACATATAATATCCTCAGCAGGTAGACGGATCATGCGTTTGAGTCCCTTTTCCGTTAGGCTAACCGTGGGTGGTTTTCGCAATTTTCCTCTCTATGTAACGCAAATGCTGGTTAGTTTCAGCAAAAAGTTCTCCATGAAGACACATTTCTCTTCATACTTGATCAAAAAGTTCCAGTGGCTTCTGGATTGGAATCAAGACTACGGAGTAGTCTACATAAGTAGTCGGATTAATCCAAAAAATTAGATCGGCTGTCCAACAATGGTTATAAAATGAAATAGGTAAAATTATACAGCTTTTTTATAACCTTTCATTTCAGTTTATGTAATAAAAAAAAACAGTTGGTGGACGTAGAATTTAAGTATAATTTTTGCACGTTTCATATACATTTCAATTGTGGATAGGAAGGAGGGATCCCAGAAAAACAAAAAGAAATTCATGAGAGGAAAATTTATTTATTACGTAAATCTTATTATAATGAACATATCCACACTCCAAAAATATAAAATGACGAAGAGAAAGTCCCTTAAAGAGGATGAAGAGAATCAATATCTTAGAATCAAACATTTCCATCAAGAAAGAAATTCAACGGTTGGGATTAAGAGACTGCAGCAACCCTAGTCTGTTAGGGAGCAATTCAAAATTACGAGTGAATGGTTCCCAACGGAGCGCTAGGAGCATGAAAAGAGATCCATTGGGTGGCTTATCGAGAGATAACATGGCCAATTTTATTATTAATACCTAAATAATCAATCAATCAAAATAGTCAATTAATACCAAATTTGAAAATAATTTAGGAGAAAACGAATCTCCAAAAATGACTGAGAATGAGTCCCCTTGCCGTTAGGCCAACCGTGGGAGGTTTTCGTGGTTTTCCCCTTCATGTAACGCAATTGCTGGTCAGTTCCATCAAGAAGTCCTCCACAAAGCAAACATTCTCTCAATACTTGATCCGGGAGTTCCCTTGTCTTCTGGATTGGGTTCAAAATGACAAGGGAACATTTGTAGTCGTAAATCCAAAACTTGGGTTGGCTGTTGAACGATGGTTGTTGTTGTTGACGTATGCCTATTTAGGCAGGATTGTTATTGTTTTCCAGTGGCGCCATCTATGGCCGAGAATTCGACTTCGGCCACACCATACGTCACACCCGTTTTATAGGGCGGACCTATTCATTCATCCACAGATCGTAATTTTTGACCTGAATCACAGAACGATCGATCACCAATCCAGTACCCCCAGAGGTTTTGATTTGTTATGAGAACAGGGAGGACTTTTGCGACTAGACAGATTTAGCGTGCATCAGTCACTTTACTACACGGGGAGTCTTCGACAGGCGGGGTTCGAACCCACGAACTCTCAGGCATGGGCCCAGCTCCCTACCGACCAGGCTATCTCGGCCCTTCAAGGACGGTTATAAAATAAAAATAAAACAAACCATGGACGTGACCATATATGGCAGTGCTTTTACTTTCGTTACTTGTACCGCCGGTACAAGTAAAAAGTACGTACTTTTACTTGTACTTCGTTACTTTTTAAACTTAATACTTTTACTTGTACTTCGTTACTTTTTAAACTTAATACTTTTACTTGTACTTTCGTTACTTTTTAAACTTAATACTTTTACTTGTACTTTCGTTACTTTTTTAGGGAAAAAGTACAAGTATTGTAACGGAAATATCGAATGAAATCGTTACTTTTTTCTAAAACTCGGTAAGCTTTCTAAAAAAAAAGAAATTAAATTTAAAAATAAATGCTTATGTTTTTTTAATTTATAAAATTAATGTGCAATATATATACATTCACAGCTAACTTTGTGTTTAAATACTTTCTGTTTCAACTTATACTGCACATTCAATTATTTTTTACTAGCTCAAAGATCACAAAGCTATCTGAAACCCCGCGTTTGCTTTGCTTATGTTTGTGCTTTTAAAACGCGTTTCTAAAGTGTAAAACAACTTTAAATCAATGGTAATTTAAATAATTAAAAATAATACATTAAAATTAAAATCAATAGATAAAATTTCATTTTCGTGCAAATCCATAAAAGGTTTGATACTAAAATTATATTTGATTTTAAAATTATATTATACGATTATATTATAAAATTATATTATAATATTCTTCCGAATTTAAAAATAAATTAACTTTCAAAATTAAAAATAATTAAATTAATAACAACAATTTTGCAAAAACATTAAAGAACATAAGAATATTATTCAATAAAATTTTTGGTTACTTTGAATTTTCGATTTCCTAGAAATGTACTTTTAAATCGTTACTTTTTTTGTTTAGTACTTGTACTTTTAACTCGTTACTTTTTTTAAAAATACTTGTACTTTTACTCGTTACTTATTAAAAGTAACGTTGCGTGACAAATGAGGAAATAAAACTTACGTAGAAATCCGAACACATCAGTGGCATCATTCCTCCTGTATTCGTACCTCGCTGTTTTTGGATACCTGTACGAAAGATCAGTCCACACCGTATTCCTGGAGGGGCGAACGAAACCCTTGCTCTGCCTTTGAAAATTCGTGGAGGGACGAGTTCTGTCCTCCACATTGTAGCGACTCAGCGATCTGCTGCTGCTGCTGTTGTAGGTGGAGTAAAGATCTTTCTTTTGGTACCATTCCTGCCAAACAGCAGATCTTCGCTGTTCATCTCTTAAATAACCGACTGTTAGAGGAAGCTGAAAATAAGAAGTTCAACCATTAGTCATTTTTAACAGCAGTCGATTCCTAAAACGTATGGCCACTTTTTCATAAAATACAAAATTTATAATTTTTCTTTAAAAGAAACTAAATTTTATTATTTTGCTTACGCGGGACTTTCATTAAACATACTTTTCATTACTTTGCATCAATTTAGATCAAAGGGCCGGGATAGCCGGGTAGGTAGGGCCCATGTCCGAGAGTTCGTGGTTTTGAACCCCACCGGCCGAAGTAAAGTGACTAATGCACGTTAAATCTCTTTTCATGTCTATGGGAACATGGGAACATGGAGGACTATCTATGGGAACATGGAGGACTTTTGCACGTCCTCCATGTTCCCATAACAAATCAATACCTCTGGCGGTACTGATCCAGGAGTTTACTTGTCTTCTGGATAGGTTCGAAATGACAAGGCTACGGAGTTGAACATTAGTAGCATTAGAACAATTGGGTCGGCTGTTCAACGACGGATAGAAAATAAAATGAAATAAATCGCTTTGAGCCTTAGTGGCTCAGGGGATAGAGCGTTTGCCTTCCAATGAGGTGATTCTCCATGTCCTCCATGTTCCCATAACAAATCAATACCTCTGGGGGTACTGGATTGGAGATCGATCGTTCTCTGATTCAGGTCTAAAATGACGATCCGTGGATGAATGAATGGGTCGGCCCTATAAACGGGTGAGACGTATGGCGAGGCAGAAGTCGAATTCTTGGCCATAGATGGCGCCACTGGAAAACAAGAACAATCGCACCCCCTCTGCCTAAACAGGCATACGTCAACAACAACAATTTAGATCAAAATGAGTGAAAAATATTATATTAAACATTTCAATAATGTATGGTTATGAAATGTGGCATGAGACACTGGTGTCCCGTTCTGAGTTAGAGATAAAATGTTTACTGGACATCGGTGTACCAATCTTCGTCCAGGTGAGTAGAAAAAATTTATGTTAAGGATAAGAGAAATAAAACAATTTAATTTCATTACGTGCCGTTTATTTTTCGTTTAATTCCTTAAACAACTGTCCTCGGACAGAAATTTATTTTAAAGAAAGTGCAATTTTTTTAATTTTTGAAACAGTTTTTGCGTTTCTTCCTTACTTCTGTTTAAATGAAAGTCTTTACTAGCTATCACTAGCATTTTTATACTACATCGATATCCGGAATGATTCATACAATTTCAAAGGATCGTTTATTTGCAAGTATACGTCCTCCTTAAAAGGTTCAAACATTCGACGGCTCCTTTGACCATTTAAAAAAAAAAATTCTTAAGAAACTGAAGCGGTAAGATATCGCTTGATTAAAAACTTCATTTGCTTCAAAAATACCGTAAACCGGGGCGAGTCTACCCATCCAGGGGCGAGTCTACCCATTTTAGTTTTATTTAATTTTCACTATTTTAAATTACAAATAAAAATTTTTTTATCGACGGATGACTTAGTTCAGACTCTAAGGAAGATGGCGCTGTAGTAGTTTGATCCGCTTTTATTTATTTGGTGTCTTTTTAACCGACCTGTTCAAACGTCTTTTGAGAGATTTGTATTGAAAATCAGCAAACTTTTAGTTGGTGCTCCGTAAGTATATTATTATTATNAATACATTTTTTTAAACTTTTGGTAGATGACATTTTTTAATACAGTTTTTTTTCAAATAATTAATCCATTTATTAAATTTAAGGAATTAATTTTAGTTTTATTTGAGTGAAAAAAAATTGTAATTATTTAATAAAAAGTAAGTAAAATAAAATTTCTCTTTGTTGTCCTAAGTAGGAATTGGAATTTAAATTTTTTTTATATTACTTGTTTACTACTTATTACTATCAGAACAGATTTCAAATTTTGATGATTTATTGTTTCTTCAATTTAAAATTACTTTTATTTCAAATCAATGCTATTAGGGAATTAGCTAGCCTACGCTACCGTGCGTAAGATTAAAGCAACTGTGCTATAATCGCGTTTATTTTAGACGCTACACATCTTTACGTAATGTTGCCGTGATTTACGCTACAAAGACAAAGCAGGCTGTTTATAGCTGTTAAATGTTGTTGTTGTTTCTAATGCGACCTGCCACACGGACAAGCCTGCTTGATGAAACCGAGCAAATTTAAGGCAGAGTGTGCGTTTCTTGCTTTTCAGTGGCGCCATCTATGGCCAAGAATTCGACCTCTGCCACACCATACGTCGCACCCGTTTATAGAGCGGACCCATTCATTCATCGACTAATGGTAATTTGAACCTGAATCAGAGAACGATCGATTTCCAATCGAGTACCCCCAGAGGTTTTGATTTATTATGGGAACATGGAGGACTCAGAGACGCGACAAATTTAACGTGAGTCACTTTACTACACAGCCGCCGGAGTTCGAAGCCACGAACTCTCGACCCTACCGACCACGCTATACTACATTAAATGTTGTTTTCTGTTTAAGACAACTTTTGAACAAAAAACATGGAGACATGGAATGCGAATTTGAAGAAATGAATCATGAGATCTTACAAAAAAATTTTTTCATTCGACAAAAACTTTTTTATTGGTTTTTGTTTTACATTATGGTTGCCTAATTACACTAGTTCCGTAAGAAACTAGATATATTTTCGCTATTTTAAAATTATATTCATTTTAACTATAGAATTTAGTTAAAAGAAGTTAAGTAATCAATAAAAGTTCAATAATATTTTTTCAAATATTAATAATAAGAATCTTTATCGCTGAACTCATCAGATATTACAATCTACTGAAATTTTTTTTGCTCACAGATCCGCGGTAGGCTAAGGAATCTTGAACCACAGCTTTCAAGACATCTATTGTTAAATGTTTGTCTTGATCTAGTGATCAAAGTTAAAATGATATTCCACTACGTTTTTAACTTACGGATCTTTGCAAAATCTCTTATTTTCATTTACGTAAGCTACGATATTTTATCACTGGCGCATATATATATATATATACTCTAGGAGCACAATTGATTAAAAATTTAATGAGGAATCACATAGGGGGCAGAAATTGACAAAAGGCACGAAATTAAAATGCAAAAAACAGTGTAGGAGGAAATTCAAGTAAAAATCAAACCATAACAGGTAAATCAAAAAGAGATTTAAAGTATATCTTTCCTAACAATAGGCAGCAAAAAGCCATCAGGATTCAGGGAGGTGTCTTGTTACTAAACAAATTTCTTACTATTTTCTCAATTCCCTTTTTATTTTAATGGATTAATATATGTTCCCAATCCTCAACAAGCTGACAGGTACGGCGCAGCTGAGCTACCCTAAAAAACCTGGCCTGATGTTGTCCATGACAGTCATGATTTACGACTACTAATGTTCAAACTCCGTAGTTTGAATCAATTTGAATCCAATCTAAATTGAATCCAATGAATCATTTGATTTTGAATCCAATCTAAAAGACAAGGAAACTCCAGGATCAAGTATTAGGCGAACTTTGCCTTCGTGGAGGACTTTCTGATGGAACTAACCCGCATTCGCGTTACATCGTGAAAACCACGAAAACCTCCTATGGTAGCCTAACGGCAAGGGGACTTTCATCCATGATCCGTCTACCACTGAGGATATTTGACGTCAGCACAGTGGTCGGAGCGAGCCGGGTGCGGAATTCGCATCGACTAGCCATTGCTGGGATTCGAACCCGGTTCACATCATTGGAAAGCAAACCTGAGCCACCCTGGTTCAAATATATAAATTGGAAATATTAGTCGACATGTTTCAAAGTTTCAGAAAAAGGCGCCTTCTTTTAAGACTTGTAATGCGTGAAAGTCTCTCATTTCACTGGCCCGGCATGTTTTGTAAATAAGCGCCTGTTTTTGAGAGCTTAAAATATTTCCAATTTCTACATTTTTGAAGTGAATGAAGTTTTTAATCAAGTAATAACGGGATTCTATTTCCCAAATTTCGGCTGTTCTTTATATTTTGGGGGTCAGGAATCGTAATCTGTCTGATAAAAAGTACAGTTATTCAAAGATAGTGCGTTTCTGTGTCTGATTAAGTTAACTTAAAATATTGTCTGCACTAATTAATAAGCATATGTTGAGTAACTACCAATACGATTATTAAACATCGATTCACTAGTATATAAGGCATACTAACTCGATTCAATCTTGCGGGTTACCTTCTGAATAGATTGACATACATCTATTTCTACTCTCCCCATTTGAGGTCACCCCCTCTAAACAATACGTGAAGATCCCATCATTAGATCAAAAGTTATTCAGGTATGTTCTATTTTGTTTACAGCTCACTGTACAAATAATATAAATATCGTGGTATATCGTGACATATTAATATTTCCTTATTGTGCATCGTGATATTAAAGTTCCGATCTAGCCCATCCTATGAGTAAGAACCCATTAATTCAAAAGTCAATATTGAATCGAAATGAAAGCAAAAATGTAATTTAAAGTTCTTCGTCTGATTCGCATTTTCTATTATTCTATTACCTACCAGTAAAAAGAAACGATCGCTTAGAGCAGTGATTCTCAATATTTTTTTTGTTTCGGCACACTTTTAACGATTTCGAAATGTGACGGCACACAATGAAAAAAAAATTAGGTTAAAAGTTGTTTAATTACCTATTTTACACTGTGTTAAATAGTTTGTGATAATAATTTTGAATGTGAAATAAAATAATATGTACTACAAAAGCACGTTTATTAAGGGATTCATTATTTCTTTCGACTTATTTTTCATTTCCAATGTTTGGCGGCACATTTTAAGAATTTGGCGGCACAGTGGTTGAGAATCACTGGTTTAGAGTTTGTTGTTAGGTTCAGGATTAAAATGAGAAAGTTTTGAAATGGGTGACAAGACGAAGTTAAATCTGTTTTTGAACTTTTTACTTCTCAGTAGAAATTCATAGGTTAAAATTATTCTTTTTCTTTACAAAAAATCAAATTCACGGCCATAAAATTCTTGAAAAGGGAAACATTTATGTGATGTTAATTCACATTAAACGATGGGTTATGAGG